AGAAATATAGTATAAAGGATACAATATATCGGTACAAACAACGCCAGTAGCAGTTGGAACCCCATAGTAAGAAACCAAAACACGTCCGTAAACACGGAAGGCTGAAGGAATTATGAAGTGGGAAGCATGGCTTCGTGTCTGATAACGTGCGTGAATACTGCCGTCTGATTGGTGGGTTTTCCAGGGGTTCGCCATAGGGGGATTTTTTTTATTTACGTATGTAAAGAGCCAAGTAAGGTTGGAATATGCATTATAATGACTGGTAACGTACGTATTTTGAAATAGAATTAGAAGTGACACAGGTAACAAACAGGTAACAGAAAAATACACTGTAGGTGACTTTTATAGCATTCAGATCACTAGTACAACAGGTGACTCGCATAGCATACAGGTAACCCAGATGGCATACAGGTGACTTGCATAATAAACAGGTGACTCACTCCTTATATACAGCAGGTGACTTACATAATATACAGGTGACTCACATAGCATACAGGTAATCCAGATGACATACAGGTGACTTGCATAATAAACAGGTGACTCACTCCTAATATACAAAAGGTGACTCACATAATATACAGGTGACTCGCATAATAAACAAGGGACTCACATATCATACGGGTAATCCAGATGACATACAGGTGACTTGCATAATAAACAGGGGACTCACTCCTAATAAAAAGCAGGTGACTCGCATAATATACAGGTGACTCACTCCTAATATACAGCAGGTGACTCACATAATATACAGGTGACTCGCATATCATATAAGTAATCCACATGACATACAGGTGAATCGGATAACATACAGGTGACTCGCATAGCATGCATGTATTCCAGAAAACATACAGATGACTCGCATAGCATTCAGGTACTCCAGATAACATACAGATGACTTGCATAGCATACAGGTGACTCGCGTAGCTTAAAGGTACTCCACATGACATATTAGTGACCCACATGATATACAGGTGACTTGCATGCATATATATATACAGGCGACTTGAATTGCATGCATATATACATAGATTACTTATGATTATATGCAAATATACAGGCAATGACGATTCCCACTAATCTATACAGGCAAGCTCATATACATATAGACAATACGTCAGAAATTACATAATATATAAATCTTTACATGCATATGCAAGTATGTGTTGTTGTTCTCTGATCGTGTCACAGCTTGCTATTGTCTTAGAGTTGCTAATGTCTGTACATCTGTTTCAGTTGATGTATTTGCATTTGTAATATAAGTTGCACTTTAAATCAGTTTATTGTGTGATTTTCCAGCTCTTTCTTAATTCTGATTTGTAATCTATAAACAGCCAATGAGAATTGATAGAGTGCTGGGAACTCGTCGGGTGTTGGTATTATTTACACAACACACAGATCATTATTAATCCTTTCACCCCTATATAACTTTAGTAGACTCTATCAGGCATTGATCACGATGAATCTATTATGGTCTATAGTGGTGAAATGGTTAAATGCACTATACCAGATTTCAAACAAACATTATATAATGGGGACAAGTGATAAGATTCATTTGGTGTCGCTCAGTGAACATTAAAAACATTTTAAAACAATCAATATTATTCTCACATACAAACGTATCATACATTGGGTGACTAAACACTGTTTACCAGGAAACTTACGCTCGGTCAAATATTTGCCGTTGCTGATAGAATCCATGTTTGCCTAGTGTTAATTATGCCATCCACCTGTCATTACTATATATAGTGTATGCTGTGCATTACGTAACTATTGGTTGTTGGGATAAATTGGCCTTATTTGCGGAGAGCGAAAAAAGGTGAAAGTTAGACTCAGTATACAGTATCACATACAGATAAACTATGACACCGGTATTTACATGTAACGGTGATTCTTGCTCTAACTAGATCGAGGTTATGTCACATAACATACAGGTGAAGATGTCATTTTTTTTTGACAACTTCTTCTATTGAACCATGAGGCCAAGATTAGTATTATTTGGTCTGTGATTTGTACCTGCAGGTACATGTATTTCAATACACATAAATTCTGTTTAAATTATTTCCAAACAATTTTTGGCATCTTAATTACTCTGTCAGAAAAATGAAGATTGCTTTCAGTATTAAGTTTGAACTTAAAAAATATATAAAAAGATTTTGGCATTTCACTTTTATAACATAGTAAAAATTATTCTACTCCAGCCTCCTGTGAAACTCAAGATATCAGTCAGATCAGAAGTATATCAAAATACATGTACACAGGTTTTATTTTATTTGTCAGCTTTCATAAGATATGGGACAGCATTATTATAGAGGAAAAAACAGCATGTCAGGATACCAAGCGGTAATAAAAGATCGGAATAGACAGGTTTTCCTGCATTCAAAATTATTCAAAAATAATTGTAATAATTGGGCTCTAAACAAAATTCTGAAATTTTAGACCTTGATATGATGTGCTTGTTTTAACTCAAATTTCCCCAAAACTAACACTTAGGCCATTTATATACTTAATATGAGACCTTATTAATCTGACCCTTTTCGACTATTCAAACACCTTGTCTGCTCCAACATAAAGTTTTTCATTTCAACTCAAATTAAACCTCTGTATTCCATCCTCCTGTATTAGTCTGACTTCTATAGTGAGGCCCAAAGGGTATCAGAATAGACAGGTGTCATTATATATTACCTTCATCAAAATGTCTAGTTTGAAAAATGTTCAGTATTTTCCCAAATTTTCTGATACATTTATGCACGCCACCATCTTTAAGAAGTAGGCTTAAAATCAGTGTGGAAATTGTAGATTCCTGATGTCAATCAATAAATTTTCAAAAAAAAAACAAATTCTGCTCCAGATTCAGGAAACCTAGGTCACATGATGTATAATGCAACGTTTAATTCATTGACAAGTCGGAAAAATAAAACAGATTTCCAAAATCAGAGATATAATTTGTACCAGTATAGTTTTCTATAGGAACATCGCATAAGCAGGTTAGTGATAATGAGTGTAGTTCCCAGCTCCCTAGGGTTATGAGCCGTGCTGCTGCAACCTTCTCGCGTTGATGCCACAGTAATGGAACCATTTCTCTGATCAATACCAACCACACTGTGGATGCCACTCCTCAGCTTTTAATTAGGATCTTTGGGAGATTCTGCAACGAAATGCATATACCATGTGTGGGGCTAATTTGTAGGAATTTGAATAGAGCTCAGGTTCTTTAAAAACCTTGCTGCAGCATTTTTTTGGCAGAATTTTGAGTTTGGCTATGTCCTTAGGTAGTTTTCTGTTAAATTAAAATGCAGACTTGAAATGTTGAAAATTCCTGTGTACATCCGACCATGCATTAGATGTTGTGTGTGAAGGATGTCTAGATTGCATTTACTTGATTTTTAACTATTTTCTTGGATTTCAAAAAAAAAAGGCTGGTTATATATCAGTAGCAGAATTTATCTTCATAATTATCCCCTCGCAACGAAAGTTGGAGGGGATATAGGATTTCGCACGTACCTACATATGTAAGTACATATGTACATATGTTACACTATTTGTCATCACTCTAGCATCTTTATTCCTCGATGGAATTTCATGAAACTTCATACAAGTGTGTAGTTTGACAATACCTTGAACATGTTGGTGTTCGGGGTTTCTACGTTGAAGGTAAAGGTCACTGTTACTATTTTTAGAAAAACTTTATCATCGCTCTACTGACTTCATTCCTCAACAGAATTTCATGAAACTTGGATACAATTGTTTTGGTATGGCAATATCTTGAACAAGTTTGCATTTCAGGTTACTGCATTAAAGGTCAAGGTCACTTTTACTATTTTTAGAAAAAACTTTGTCATCGTCCTAGCGACTGCATTTCCTCTTACATATGTCACAATGTGTGAATGTGAGGGGATTTGTATCACTTGTGATGCTTTGTTTTCTACTTGTGCCAAATGCAGTTTTATACGTTTTTTGTTCACATTTACAGTAATGCTTAGTTAAATGTCATTTTAGCCAAATTGTAGGTCGAAAGTTGATGTAACCAAAGAATTTGTATGAAATCTTCAATAATAATAAAAAAAATGTTTGATAGAATCTGTTTATCAAGATGTCCTGCCTACTTCACTAACTCATAAAGTCCATACGTCTATCAATAAACACTGCCTATAAACACTGCCTGTCTATAAATATCACTTGTCTTTAAACACTACCTGTCTATAGATATCACCTGTATATAAGCACCACCTACACGTCTTTAAAAAAAATAATAAGTCTGATTATAATGCGTGTTGTGTTCATAGACAGGTGGTATTTATAGACAGTTGATGTTTAAAGACAGGTGGTGCTTATAGACAGGTGGTATTTATAGACAGTTGATGTTCAAAGACAGGTGGTATTTATAGACAGTTCATGTTTAAAGACAGTTGATTTTTATAGACAGTTGATGCTTATAGACAGTTGATGTTCAAAGACAGGTGGTACTTGTAGACAGGTAGTACGTATAGACAGGTGGTACTTATAGACAGTTGATGTTTAAAGACAGGTGGTTATAGACACATGGTATTTATAGACAGTAGATGTTCAAAGACAGGTGGTGCGTATACACAGGTGGTATTTATAGACAGTTCATGTTTATAGACAGTTGATTTTTATAGACAGTTGATGTTCAAAGACAGGTGGTACTTATAGACAGGTAGTATGTATAGACAGGTGGTACTTATAGACAGTTGATGTTTAAAGACAGCTGGTTATAGACAGGTGGTATTTATAGACAGTTGATGTTCAAAGACAGGTGGTGCTTATAGACAGGTGGTATTTATAGACAGTTTCTGTTTATAGACAGTTGATTTTTATAGACAGTTGATGCTTATAGACAGTTGATGTTCAAAGACAGGTGGTACGTATAGACAGGTGGTACTTATAGAAAGGGGGTATTTATAGACAGTTGATGTTTATAGACAGGTGGTACTTGTAGCTATAATATCCTTGAAAAAACATTTCTATGTTTTCTGTTGCAGGAGAAAAACCCTATAAGTGTTCATTTGAAGGTTGTGATCGGGCTTTCGCACAAATGGCAAATCTCCACCATCATATGCGTAACCACGACGACCATTTAAAGAAGGCAGCGACAAAACAGTACCATTGTATGATATGTCATAGGGCTTACACAAATGAAAGCAGTCTCAAATCCCACACTCTCAAGGTTAGTAACCAGGAAAACACTTGTATACAACATCTCAAATGTGAAGAAAATCTCAAGCAATGTAATGTTTTTGAGAAATCTTAGACTTGAAGAAATGTCAAGAGCTAGGGTGTTTTATACAAGTGGGGCCAGCTGTGTTAAATGTAAAGGATATGTGCTTTTACCATGCATTGACATTTTATTTGTGATTTGTGCTGGAGTTATCTCCCTTGGATTATTGATTAGCATATTCATTATTACCAGAGTATTACAGACACATAGTCCTTGACTACTTTTGAAATGTGTTACCAATAAATCAAAAGCAAAAATCAGACGTATACGTCTATGTTTTTGTATGTGGAACTCTTTTTAAAGGAGGTGCGTGTCAGAGTAACTAACTAGGTAGCATGTTTCCTTAAACGTCCAAGTTAAATGTAACTTGACTCACTTGTATGGATCTCCAACACCTTTCCAGGCTAGAAACATTGTAAGTTGAAATGTGTATTACTGACTTTTCTCAGTCACCTGAGACAAAGTCACAATCAAACTAATGCAACTGCCTTTTGTCTGATGTGTGTCATCATATTCATGCTCATGGCATCCTCCAATAAACAATTCACATTTCTGATTTCTCCAAAATCACTGAAACTAATTCAGTAAAATTGTGCTGGAAAGTTCCATAGTCAAAGGCAAACCAAAATATAAAAGATATGAATGTAAAACACAGAGGCCTAAATGAAACCAAAAGGGGTCGATTTGCTAAAAATTGGGTACCTGTATATTTTGTTTATTTTCAGTGGGAATAATACAAATTTGGTTGTGATTATCATGAGATTTCACTGTGATATTTTATATGGATCAAATTGACTGTTGATTAATGGAAAGGTTTTAAAACCCTTTCACCACTGTAGACCATAATGGACTCATCCAGATTAATGCATGGTAGAGTCTATTAAAATTACATAGGGTTGAAAGGGTTAAGGTGCTTTTGCAAAAACTTCAATGCATATACACAAAGGTCACAGCTCATTATTCCACCTTTAGGATGGGATGAATTTCACCATGCTACTTTCTCGACCCTGTGCTGATGTAAAGCATATTCCGTCTTTGCGTATTGCAGAGTTATCTTCTCTTGGGAGCAGGTATTGATTGTTACGTCATTGGTTTTTGCGAGAAAATTACGTCATTTTTTCAAAAATTGATGACGTTACTCTCACAAACAAGTGACGTAACAATCAATACCCAAGAGAAGATAACTTTGCAATACGCAAAGACGGAATAGTGTAACTGTAATACAGACAAGTAATTGCCATACTTGGTCATTTCAGATGCATGTTCATATCAAACCATTAGAACAAAGAATTACGGGACTGCCTACAAAACCTAGGAAACCCAGACAGCCCAAGGGGAAAGACAGTACGTCACCTGTGATGGCAATTGATCTCACTTGTGATGATGGCAGCGACAACAAAGTAGACATTTTCAGTCGAGTGCAGAACGACAGTAAAGTCGACATCTTTAGTCGCGTCCAGGCTCTACAGAGAAACGAAGACTTTTCCCGCATAAACTCTTTCCAAAGGACAGATTTTCAGAGATCTGATAGTTTACATAGAGATGATTTTCGTAGGGTCGACAATTTACAGAGAGCAGACAGTTTTCCGCGTAATGAAGCTTTACAAAGGGCAGATAACTTTCAAAGGGCAGATAACTTATCACGAGATTTACAACGCGGAGACAGTCTCCAACGTGAATCACTTCATCGGTCGGATAGCTTACAAAGACTTGCCGGACTCGACTCGTCCTTACAGCTTCGGACAGATAGTCGCCAACAACAGCACTCTTTAGGAATGTCTGCCAATTCCCCGATATCCCGGGTGATACCAAATGTACCAAGGTGCATGACGTTGTCGGATCGGCTCACAGACACACCAACAAACAACAAGAACTTGACTGCATCAGACCTTCTCCATCCGGAGACTTCATCAACGCGTTCAGACTTGCAGCAAAGTCTCCCTGCTCATTCTAATGTTGATCCGCTTGCGTATTATCGGCAGTCACCTTACAACCTTCCGCCACACATCTCCCACGCTCACCTACCCATGCGGATTCCGACTTCGCTTTCCCCGTTTACACAGATGGGTGGTGGCCTGGAGTCTGCAGTTGCAACGAGTAATGCATCAGTTTTCTCCAATTTACAAGAAATGATGTCGTCGCAGCATACTCTATCGACAGCCAATCACATGTCAGTAAATTCACCGACCGCTTCGTCACCACAAAGGCTCACTAATTGATTGTGTTAATGATTTACATTTGTTCCTTGGTTTCGCTGCATTGTATGACTATACGTAACTATCAACTAAAACAATGGCAATAGTTTTCCTTTTAAATATAAACTGGAAAATCAGGAATGCTAGTACGAACTCATTTCTTGTAATTATGTATAAAACTATGCACAAATCTGAAGTTTGTGAAACATTCTGGTCAGAAATAATTTTGTTTATGACTATGTGTAGTAATTAACTGTTGTCTTGTTCAATGTCATTATTATAATGATAATTGATAATTAACATATAGCAGTTATCATTTTTAATTAATGGAAAAGCTGAAATGAGTTCTCCGAACATTTCTGATTTACCAGTTAATTTCTAAAATGAATGATAACAAGGAGCATTATTTTTAGATACTTTAACTGGTAATTAAACAAGTTCTATTTTCAAAATCTTAAGGGTCCCGTGGTACCACTGTCAAAAACTGTAACTTCACATTTGAATCTGATTTTTCTAGTTGACCATAGCTTTGATAAAGCCTTTCTGAAATGGATACCATACCTTGCTAGTCATTTATGAAAAAAATGATTAAGATGGGAAAAAAACACAGTATAATATCAGCAGCAGTGTTTTGAGTGTAAAATTTCAGTGGGGCTAATCTGGGATTCGAACCCCGGACTTCACATTATCATGCCAGTGCTTTAATCAACTGAGAAACCTGGTCAACAGAAGTGTCCTAGTGCAACTGTGCAGCAGTTATAGCCAAAACGAAATTAAGGAAAGGTTCCAAGGTTATACTTGTATTCGAAAAACCACAGTGCAGTGGATTATGAAAAGTTCTTTTTACACAACCAGTAAGAGTTTGTGTAAAGAGAACTTTTCATAATCAATACTTGCCAACCTGAAGAAAATGTTTAGACACAGTACAGTGGGACTGGGTCCTAAAGGTCTTAACCCTTTCACCACTGTAGACCATAATGGAATCATCCAGATCAATGCATGGTAGAGTCTACTTAATTAAGTTACATACCTGTAGGGGTGAAAGGGTTAATTTATAGATAACTGATTTGTAATCAGATGTTTTGATCATTGCTGTCAAGTAACGTTATGTAGTTCTGTACAGAAAACCCAGGCATTTTGGATTAGGAAATTCAAAGTAATTCATGATGTAGGATGGGAAAGAACTCCAGAACGTTTTCTTGGTGCACTGCCCGTCTTCTAAAGACTTGAGAGAAAGCCTGTCGAAGGTATGGTATAGATTCACACTATTGCCATGTTATGTGATAAAAGTTTTTATATAATATTGTATACTTGTTCAATGCTTTTACAGGGTTTCACAGTAAAGAAATTCTGAATATTTATAATGTGAAATGTGCTTACATTAATTTTGTTTATGTTTTTTTTTGACAGATTTCTTTTTAATAGAATATCTGCATATTTTATGAAAATTGTGCTTATATATTTTTTGTTCAAGATTTTGTTTCCTCCTTTCTTTCTTGTTCAGAAGTTATTTTACATAAATCATAGATTAAGAATGTGTGTGTCATTCGTGTAATTGCTGTCTCTTAATTGCTATAGATAATTTGTGTAGGTCATGTGATTAGGTGTTAAAGGTCATGTGCAATATGTAAATACTGTCAGTCAAGGGTCATCATTAATAGGTCAAAGGGCAGTTTGATTACTTCAAAGCATCCAGCCTTTCATTTTTTTTTAATTTGTGTGATTAAAATAGACATATTTAGTATTGTTTGGGCTGAGTAATTATAATTTTTGCTATAGAATATAATTTTCACAATTCAAACCAAAATTCTGAAATTTTGTATTATTTTATGAAAAGAAATATATTTTAAATAATCTCAAATTTACTGCACTGAACACATAGTAAAGGGAGATAATTAGGTTCTTGGTATGAGGGTAATGAGTTTAAAGTTATAATATCAGGATTATATGCTTTCTTGCTTGATGAAATAGAGATTCTTTTATTGATAAGATTGTATAGTTCCAATAGTGATTAAGGAATTAGGTTTCTAAAGAGGATGAAAACAGCATTCATATTGATTTCAATGACAATTATCATAAAATATAAGTTTCATGTAATATTTTTTCCACAGCATATTTGCTTTAACCCTTTCACCACTGTAGACCATAATAACTCATCCCAATAAATACATGGAAGAGTCCACTAAAGTAAGGGGTGAAAGGGTTAACAATTTGTAGATGATTGTATATCTATAGTTTTGCTTTCATCACCGAGCCAATTCATTGTAGTTGTATATAGGTCCCCCCTTAACTATTGTTCTCTAGATATCCTGTCTGTGATAGGTGTCTCCTTTGTAATCCTACTAGTTCTGAATGGCTAAATCCTGTTGATCCGTCTTCTGTGAGGCTATATTCCTTGCCATTCTCTTTGGTTTAGTTATCTTGTATGGCAATCTTTATGCTGTTTTACTATAGTTCTGTGGCTTAACCAATAACACAAATTTAAGCAATGTTACAGTGGCATAGTTGCATAAGAATAATATTTTTCGCTATAATGCTAATTCGGCTTTTTCCTGGTTTTTAGGTAATTGATTTTTTCTAAAATCAAAGAATTTCATGTAGATGAAAATTTAAAACTTTTCTTAAACTTTGGTTTTAAAGCAATGCCATTCCTTTGCGAAAGAAAAGCTTTTAAAAAATAGTATAGTTGAATAGAATGTTAATATCAATGACGCAGGTTTGTAGAAAACAGTTAAGAAATATTATCAATGAAGTAATATTAACAAGGTATTATTAATATAAAATATATAATGAGGTTATATTTATGAGATTATATTAATGGGTAATACTAATGAAGCAAAATTAATGAGGTAACATCAAAACATTAATATCAATGGTGCAATATTTATAAAAAGATTAATGGGGTAATATATATGAATATTGATGAGATAATACAATAAATATTAATGATAGAATATTTTGATAGAGGAAGTGATATTTAAGAGTTAACATCAAAAAAGTGATATTGATGAAGCGATATTAACAAGATATCAGGTTAAAGGATAATATTTTTAAGGTAATATAGATGAAATCATATTGTTGATGAGGTGATATTAGTGAATAATAATGAAGCTTTAGTAAAGAGTAACATTAATAAGGTAATTTTAATGAGGTTACATTAGTGAATATTAATGAAAGAATCTTAAGACTTAATAATATTGAGATTATTTCAACAAGTTGATTTTAATGCTTTTTATCATAGTACTAAAGTTTCACAACTCTTCCCCTATGTCTAAAGTTTTCCATTATTGTTTAAAACCTATATATGTGTTTGCGGAAATTTAATTTTAACATAACATTAGTTAATATTAATGAAAGAATGTTAATTATAAGGCTTAATAATATTGAGATTATTTTAACAATGTGATTTTAATGCTTTTTTATCATAGTACTAAAGTTTCACATCTTGTCCCCTATGTCCAAAGTTTTCCATAATTGTTTAAAACCTGTGATTGGATTTTTTTTTTTTTATTAATATGATGTACGTAATTCCTTAGTGCTTTTTTGTTGAAATAGAATGATCTCAATGAAAATATAAAAGAAACGTATGATTCATTTTAATATCAATGTGTTTTGAAATAGTTGTTTTTTCTTGTTTATTAATCAATCACAAATTTATCGGTATGATAAATTTCATATTTTAAAAGTTATATTATCAGTTGCGAACGCTATATATCTAAAGTAATGTTCATGTATTCAGAAATATTTTTCTAAAGACAGAAATCATGATGAAATTGCTCACACAACAAATGCAAAAGCCACGCTGAGCAGCTACGAAAGATTTCCCTCAATATGGTACCATAGATGAATGCTATGTGTCCTATTTAAATCATGTATATTATCAACAAATACTATTTATCTGTCAGGACTAGGTAATCTTCCTAACCATTATTTAAATGTTAAATAAATGACAGATCCAGCATAATATTGAAGCATTTACTCATTTCTGATAGAATGTTTTCTCTAATAAAACATGAAGGTATGTAAAATGCTCAAATTTCAACATTTTACTTACAGTAATTAGAATACAGTTTTGAAGCTTCTTATTTTAATCTCATTTTTAAAAAGAGACTCACTGTTAAGATTGATGTTGTCACATTAAAAAAAATAACACACTTTCAAACACACCTTTCTCTGAAATCTATGTCGCTGTAAATAACCTTTCTGAAATCTTTGTTGCTGTAAGCACTGTTTCTGTGATATCTGATGCTGTAAAGCAATGTTTCTCTGATTTTTTTTACTGTAGCTAATGTTTCTCTGAAATCGACGTTGCTGTAAACACACCGCTTCTTTGTCAAGTAGATAGCTTTTAAGATACACCAGATTCAGTTTCGGAAAGTATATATATTTCTTTACACGCATTATAATCAGACTTAAAAATTCTTTGTAAAGACATATAGGTAATGTTATACAAAATATTACAGTAGGGGGCATTTTATGCTTGCATTTGAAACGAAAGTTATGTAAGTATGGTTTATTTTTTTTATTCAAAATGTTTGATTATATTATAATAATTTTTTAGCGAAATCAACTGCCTATTAATGTTGTATTACTGTGAAATGTGTGTTATTCTGCAGCTGTTAAGCGGATATGTACATGATAAAATTGTTTCAGCCGATTCAATACAGGTCTTGCATTTTAATCCAAGAAAGTTTGGTTTGTTTAAATATGAGAACTTTTATTAATAGCTTTGTTTAGTCAAGGTTTTTTTTAAAAGCTTTTCTGAGAGCTTGATGTAAAGCTTTTGTAAGAGCTTGATCTATACCTTTCCTGAGTGCTTGATTTAAAGCTTTCCCAAGAGCTTGATTAAAGCTATTTTTAGAAGCTTGACTTGAAGCTTTTCTAAGAGATTGAATTAAAGCTTTTCTAAGAGATTGATGCCAGCATGTACCATATCATAATTCTGTCCTGTTTTGGACTCAATTATATAAATATTTTAAATCATTTACATGTACATCTATAAACCATTTACTGTGCCATAAGTTAAGTATCTTATAACAAATATGAAATATGATAATGTTCTTTTTTTGTTAAGTTGTTTTTCAGATCTATAAATATTCATATTGTATAACTCTGCTTTCAAATGAAAGCTAGTAATATTTCAAAACCTTATGGTGCATTTGTGTACGTTTTTAATGTTGAATTTGATATTGTAAATATACTTGGACCAGAGATCATAAAATGAAAAAGTTTTCTTTTCTTTATCTAGATTTTTTGTCTTTTGTAAACATTAATATAACTTTAAGTGTTTTGTTAAGTGTGTGACTGTCTGTATTTAAAATACAATCACTGAGAGTTTTGTGATTTTTGTGTGTCCACACCAGGGACAATGTCACCAAGTGACCGCTGTAGCCTGGGAGCTCTGTTTGTATATAGATTAGCTTCTTATATATGTGACCACGGAATTAGATTTGTTATCTAAGTCCGTGATGTGACTGAGGGCAGGTTGCCAAAGGCACCATGTAACATTGTTGAAGTTCAGAAAATGTCATAGATATAGACTTTGACATCATGTTGTACAACATTTTGTATATACCATTAATATTTTCACAACAGTCCATGTTCCATTATTTAAAAAATATGGTTGTAAGAGTTACGTCCCTTTGCTTCAAGCACAGTTTTATTGCGTGCAATCATGATCAGTTGCTGTCCAAGACAACTGATTTGTGTTCTTTTACATTTTTTGTTCATTTAAATGATTTGTCAAAATTTGAATTCTTAATGTTAACAGCATTTTAATTGCATAATATTAATATCAAAATTATTATATTCGAAAATTGTATATTTTTACATTTTCTTACATATATAGCTTCTGTCTCAAAAAATGCTTTCAAATATCACTCAATATCAGATGCTTTTATTCTCTATTTAGCATCTCATCAATTGCATTTCTGTTTTCATTGGCAAAGCATTTTTTTTCTAAATTTAGCTCTGTCTTGTGTCATTCTTTGTGACAGCGCTTGTAACATAGACCTTAAAGGGACGGTGTGATAACAGATTTTAAATTGTTGTATACATTGAGTATTGAAAAATGTGAAAATTTGCCCTCGTTTTATGTGAAACATAAAATTCAACCTGATAACCAGGCAGCACTTATGTTTGAAAATATGATGAAAAAAACACCCCAAATGTTCAACTTTAACTTTGCAGTATACATTGTAATCCTTCTGTGCCATTCACCCCTGAAATTTCATAATGGACTATTCCAACCTTTGAATTGGAAGAGTTCAAATGTGTCTTCAGGGGTAAATGAGTTAAACCTCTAATAACTTTCTGAATGAAATTGTTTGATTGGTAGAAATTACGTTTAAAACAGAATTACGGAACATTTCATTGCTATGAATGATATTTGGCCCATTTCTCTCTATTATTAAAAACTAATAATTTTTCTATTTTTTGTAGCAAATTTTTTTCTATTTAGAAAAAAAAAATCTGAATATATTTTTTATGTATTCAGATTTTTTTTTTCTGCTTATAAATTAATGCACTCAATTTTTTCCAATTTTGGAATGAAAATGGACCATTAAAATGAGGAAGAAAGTCCCTTGTATTTTGTTGATAGAGGGTATACAATGAATCTGTTCCTTTTCCTATTTTCCCTTATCTGGAACAGGGAAATTGCTTTGGTTTCGTGCTCTGCATATTCACCCATTCATCTTCAATTTCCCTCAGTTGGTCTGTCCCTCATGTTTCCATTGTTTCATTTGAGTAATTTTTGAGAGTCAAAATGGCTGCTTAATTCATTGCCACACACTGAAGGGTTCGAACTTCATCTTCAGATTCTATTTAAGAAGAGGTGCTCAGAATTGGCTTTTGCAGTAGAAAGGTCAAAGGTCAAGGTCATTGTGTAGTCCAGTGAATATCCAAGGGTTTTTAATGTGATTAACTTATATTTCTGTAAACTTTAATTAAACTTCATTGTGATGCAGTTTGCAGCACTTGTGAACACTATCAGGAGCATTGGCAGCTAGGTGTTATATTAATTTTCATAAGAGAAGTATTTTTGTGGATATTTTGCTCTTTTAGGAAGATTAATTAACACCATGTGTGATAGTGTTGTCGATGAATAGTTATACTATATATTATAACTAGCACACCCTAGTTAGTAACGGAATTTATATTAAAGATTTCATAATTCCTTCAACAAATTTATTATATTGTCTTCATTCCTGGTGATTGAAAATATGACATATGGTAAGTATTATGGCTTACGTGTCCATGATTTGGCGGTATCAAAATTGTACAGTATCTGAAATAGTTATCAAAATAGAATTATTTTCGAAGGTCGTACCTGAAAATCGGGCTGGTGTCACATTTTCACTTCAACAGAAGTAACATAGTTATTCATGAGTGACAGTGCATAAAACTTTGCTATCTGTTCACATATATTGAATGTTTAAAACTGATAGAACAAACAAAGCACCACCAATCTCTACATTTCTGTTCACAAGTAGTTTCCAAACTAGTAGAGCTATGGCATTAAAGCCAGTCTCCATTCTTTTGTTCACAAGTGCTGCTTGTATATATAATGACATTACACAAAAGCTTAAGGATATATGCTACTTCACTGTGACACTTTCTCCTTTTCTGGGAGTGTTCTACATTTTTTCAAGCAAGGGAGTTAACTATCACAAATTGCAGTTGTATGCTTAGGTAGCATGTATCCTTAAACCAATATTTGATTATGATTTTTTGGGGCAATAACATGTTCTGCTTATTGCTTTCTTTGTTTGGGAATACTGTGTAGGGGGAAATTTAGTCGCAGTTAAATTTTCGCCCTTTTTCACCCTTAGCAATGACTGTGAAGTCATGACGACAGAGTTCACAACCTACTACAAATAGTAGTTACATAAGAATGGTTAAATCAACACAGGCGAATATGGATTTCACCTGTTAAGGGTGAATATTTGACTGGGCGAAGGGTTTCCCAAAAAGCAGTTATTGTACGCCAGTCTTATTTCTCTATGTTGGCAATAAGCAAAAGACCCTGCAAGTCTGATTGTTGATTCCATGCAATGGTTTTGTGAGCTGATGTAAAACATTGCTCTGTGATTGTACTATTTGTATGTGTATGTATGTGCATATGTGTGGCCAGATTGAGGTTTCAAGTGGAAGCTGTTGTTGATGAGAAAATCAAAATCTACCGGAACTTAGTCGTCTGTCCTCTCCCACCCCGTAATGTTTTAATTGTTTTTGGGGTTGATGAAATGATATAGATTTCCAAAGTGTATGAAAAAAACATAGTTTCATGGGCAGGGATATTGCAGTAAAACATTAACTCTACCCCAGGACTCCAGGTTTTGTTGAGGGGTACTAACTATAGAATATGAGTCATAATTTACATACGTTAGTAATAGGCAGGAAAATCAGCCATAGATTAAATATTAAATGTTGGAGTCCTGGGGCCAGATAGACATTTTTCTGGAATAGGCCTGATTCCAAGTCCAATTTTAATGTTCTAACAAAGTAAAAAATTTTTATAAAAAACCCCATTAAAGTGTAAGCTCAATTTTAAACTCACAGTTGCCTCCCTTCCATAAACATTTACTGCAAATTCTAAACAACAAAAAGTAAAATCATAGTGGAGTAATAGTTGCAAAGAGAAATGGTAAAATAATTGCAAACTCAAGGATTTTTTTAATCACTTTGTTCATTTTGTTTAATTTGTGAATACTACTTCAATTTAGCTTTTTATCGAAAATTCTGGTAACAAAATGTTTTCTTAGCATCTGCAAAAAATGCAAAAACAAGTATTTAGGTGATAAAAGTAAATAATTTGTTTGGTTTATTGGGGCTATTGTTTGCAAGATCTTACTTAATGTAATAATACTAAAAATCATTTATAGAAAGTGTTGTTAAAGAAAAATATTTGTTCAGTAATTTTTTTGTTAAATAGTGTTAATTTAAATTTAAATTGTTTGGTTTAATTAACTATAATCCATAAAAATAGGTGTTATAAGTCTGGTTATAGGTTGAATGAATTGTTCTGAAAAATGGAAGACAAATAGGTTTTTGATTTTAAAGTTAAGGCTGCAAGTTTTTAGAATGAGTCAATTTTAATTTTAGAAGGGAATGTGAATAGGTCATGTTCAGTGAGGGTCGTGTACAATGTTTGAGATTTTTTTTTTTTTTAATATTATACAGAGTTTAAGGGGTCATGCTCACTATTTTGTGGATAAACACACTGCTTGAAAACTGCTCTGAGGGCCTTCTGCACTGCCAGAGGGTTATTTTACACTGCCCGAGGGCCATATGTACACTCTGAGGGTCATGTGCACTCTATGAGGGACTGTTAATGGATATGTAAACGTTATGATTGTCATATTCACTGTTTGAGGGCCATGTTCACAGTCTGATAAATATACAAACTGTCTTAGGGTTAATATTCTCTGTTTGAGAATTATGTACACTGTTTAAGGGCTATGCACTGTCAGGTGGATAAGTACACTGTCCAAGGGCTATTATATATATGGTCACTGTATAATCTGTTGAATTGGCGAAAAAATACTTATGATAATACCTTTCCATTAAGTTTGAACTTAAATGATCAATAAGAAATGAAGAAGGTCACAAAGAGTCATCAATGATTGAAATAGGAAAGTGTAAGTAATGGAGGTCTCTTTTGTACCTCAGCTTACTAGCCCAGTACTCTATGAACCAGCTTAAGGGAATCTCCCTTTTGTTGTTTGAGTGGGTAACTTATTACTAGGCAGCCCACCATTGTGTCAGACTCCCCTCCATGTAAAGAACGTGTCTTTAGGTTTTTGCTATGGTGCACCCATGCTTGTGAATATATAATACTAAGAAGAACATAATTGTATGCAGGTCCAGACGTATAAGGTACCAATGTAACAGTGGTGCCTCCAATAGGACTCAAAACTTGGACTACAGTTTATAGAGTTCTAGTGTTCTAAAGTTTCAGCTGAAGGGGGCTCCCTAGGCCTCTTGCTGAGTGTGCAGCATGCAACTAGCTTGTTCACCACTGTGACATTTACGACAATGTATCTTCAAAAGAAAACGTATTATTGTCATGAATAGTTTGTATTGTCTTGTGAAAGAAAAGCAAAATGAAAGAGTGTGAAATGGATTTGATTAAACTTTTTTCATAGGGTAGCTATATACTATGACTCACTGTGAAATGTAACTTGTAAGGTTTGCCGATTTGCAAGAATGTAAGGGGCCCTTATTGTATGTTTTTTTGCATTGTTGTAAGGGGTTTGTATTTTAAAATTAAGCATTTGTATTCCTTCTGCACGCACCACTGTACTGATGCCATATATTAGGTCCATAGATTGAGAGAAGAACGAAATAAAAGGACATAGTCTGCTGCTTTAGTATTCCCGATAAAAAATAGTTGATACTACATTTATAGAGGTTCTCAAACAAGTTCTCGGTTCATTTGTATTTTTTTGTAAATTCAAATGGATTTGGAACCAGTGTGCTATTCCTGTTTCTTGGTATGGTCTATCTAACTATCTAAAATTACACTTTTGTCAAAAGTTGCTTAGAGCAAAGAAAGAGAAATACCGTCAATTATTTATCCGTGACGTCCTCCTATTGTTACTTGTGACGTCATAAGTGTCATTACAAAGATATGATATAAATAAATGTTATGGTGGTTTCTACATTGCATACTAGACGGATATCGCAGTAAATTGAGTAAAACCGTGTTGATCTCATCTTTCCAATAACTGGTAAATTTACTTTTAAGACATGTATACTTAGGATATGAACTACCGTATTACTTTTAAAAAAATCAGACACACAATCCGGACACATATGGCAACCAGACCCTCAAACAGGGCCTGGTTTGACATGAAAGCGTTCTCATGCACAAGTAATGATTCAATTCTCAAGCCAACTTTCTTGTAACTTACTTAAATCATGTAACACAGTCAAAAAGTGAAGTTCAACATTGAAAACGGTATTCGGTTTTACGCGTCTCCAAAGTTCTTCCAAATATTTATTTTTAATCGGTCCAAAATTGGTCTTGAAAATAATTCTGAGTTTGAACATGAGACAGTTTTATAAGTATAGATCTAGATCCTATTGAATACCTAAGGAAGGAACTTGTGAGATCAGAAAACTGCCGTATATCTATAGAAATATTAGACCATATGGTGATTATTTTTGACTGGTTAATAGTACCTATTTCAAGTGATAACGACCGTTTTATTAACGTTAAATATATCATTTTCTTCCCGAAGCCAAAGTTCTGAAAAGTTATATTTATATAACAAAAGATGGAAGTAATATTTTATGATTCAGTAGATACTTTTTTAACATTTGTGACATAAAAATCAGTTTGTCATAAATAACGTGTAATGGGGTTTTTGTTCTCTACATATTTCAACTGCACCTGTTAGTGAGACAAGTAGTAAATATCCCATGTACAACTTTTGTAACTGACATATCTCCATCCTGCTGGAGTGTGGTCATTGTGATGACGTCACATTGAAAACAGTTGAATGACATCACAAAACAAAACCAGATGATACCAATATCGTTTTTCTCACAGATTATACATGTGATAAAGCTGTTGAATATCTAGCTCTTGTCCGTACTTGTGAGACAATAGTTTCATATCCCTTTCCAATACAGAGAACAAAACCATTACAAGCCAAGAATTTTGCTAACTAAAGCTTTCACATCATGTGAGAATTGTTTTGTCTAAGTCAGTCCCTTTTAGACGATTTTGTCTTATCCAACATTAATCCTATTCTATGTTAATTTCATACTTGCTTGGGAAAAAAGCAGACTATTTCTTACAATTTGGATTACAGTATTTCTTTTTATTCTTGTTCAGAAGGAAAGTTAGATTTCTATAAAAAAAATTTTTAAATCTTCCAGAAATATGAAGATGATCAATTTCTTGATAAAGTACTGATCTATTTCGTCGCGCTTAAACCAAGATTATTGTTTATTTGAAAAGCTTTATATATGCAATGGTTGATGAACCTAGACAAAACGTATCAAGAGAAATTTTAAAATTACAAAATTCGGTTGTTTTTTTCTGAGCAAATTGCCAAAGCATGCTTTGTTTCATGTTATTTTAATCTGATGTAGATAATTTCGAAATCTGATTTTATATTTTCCAACTCCAATTTTTAATATGTATGTAATAGAGTTAAGTTTGTGGTAATAATTTACTTAATTAATGCCGTGTTACAAATCAGACCGCTGTCAGCAATTGTAAGCTTAAATTGTTTTGGTTAAATAAATGTTAAGGGCAAAACAATCGAATTGCAAAGTCATGAAATATATGATGTTAGTTACGAGATTTAATGTCTTCGTTCTGTGATGATTGTTTTGGATCACCGAATTAATATGTCTATATATTTTCTTTTTTATAATTAGAGAAAAACAAATGATGTAATTCAAAATTCACCTTCAAATTGCATGAAGCTGATTAACATTGAAACGACCAAGTCCTGATCGTTTACTGTACGTTTTGATAGGGAGTTCTTAGAGTTGTACAAGTTCAACAGAACTTAAATATAATGTTGATTTTGGGCCCAGTCATTCAAAATGTTATCTCAAAATTATTTTTTTGTGGAATAAGTAGATTTTGTAACAAGAATTCATATTAGATCAAGTTTGGAAGAAGGAATCATTTGAAACTGTAGAACAAGTCGATTTATTTCGGCAAACGAATTTTCAGAGGAAAGATTTAAAGAAAAAGATGAGTATGAAACTGTGAAACGGTTTGATTTCCGCAAACGATTTGTGAAAGTCAATATCAAAGAACAACAAATTGGTTGCAACATGTTTGTGAAACGAATCAATTTATTTCGGCAAAACAAAGCTTGAAAGGTAAGATTTAAGAGAAAAAGCTGAGTCTGAATCTGTTCAACAAGTTGTTTGCTTTAAGCAAACAAATGTATTGTGACGTAAGATTGCTTTAAGCAAACAAACGTATTGTGACGTAAGAAAGTGATAAGTCTGAAACTGATTGTGAAACAATTCGACTTATTTCAGCACACGAATCTTGAAATATGAGATGTAAAAGAAAGAAATGTGTCGTGTCGTGTAACGCACCGAATGTTGAGTAAGTGGTCCCATCCACCTTGTATATTGTGTATATTAGTTGTTGGTATCTGCCTGATACGGTCGTAAACATGTGTTCGTCCTTTCCCTCTACGGGGCTAATTTTGTTGTAAGTACATCAAATGTATGGAGATTTGTATCACTAAACTGCCAACAGAGCATAATTAGAAAAAAAAACTCTCAAAGAGGAACAATTGTTTTCGTTGTTGTTTTTTCATTACTGTAAAACATATATATTTCAACGATTTTATCGCCTTTTGCGCTTGTTGAATTATTGTGCAAAATTATGATTGCGTTTTTAGAAGGTTTTATGCAATGTTTTCTGTTGCATATATTTGGAGTGCTCTTTTTCATCTTGGCGCTTGTCTGCAAAATTTCACTAAAAATTCAATGGCTAAAGTAAGAACGTTTACAGTATGTCCAATTTTCAAGCGTCACATGCTAGTGTAACCATTAAAAAAAAACATCGCTGGAAAAAAGAACATAACATCAAAATGGTAAAAAAAAACATTGAAAAAAATATCGCAGAAAGTGTATTTTATACATCAAATTGTAATAAAAAATAAAGCTGTAATTCATTAAGAAGCTAAAAATTTACGCAAAAGTACCGAATGCGAAGCCAGATGTTTAGGAAGACAAAGTTTTCTTCATGTGGAAGTGAGAGAATGAACCTAAGTGTTGCAATTAGGGCAGCAGATCCATTTTGGATTTCCCGGTGTCGCTTGACCAGAAGGCATGGAGGAACTCCCCCGATTCTGCAGGGGGACGCATGTTAGTCGCCTCTTACGACATTATTTGAATCTGCACAGGGATTTGCCTTGTAAATTGAAGCATAACTGAATGAGCTTTAATCTAAAGCTGCATCATCGGCATTTTTCGTCCTTAGAAACTAGGAAAAAATGATTGTCACAAGCTAACTATAAACTTTATTACTGTCATCCCATGAAACATTCTTGCAGCTATAGAGGCATATTGCAGAATGGAAGAAAATTGGTACAGGTGCTATAACGAAAAGCCCTTGACCGATAATTGTATAGTGTCGCAAATTTAAAGTGGGAAACTTGGTTGAAATCTAGTTTAAATGACGCCGCCTTATTCCATGATCATTCTTCGAGAGGATATATCGGTGAAGCTTCTTTCGTCAAGATCCTCAAAAATGTTTCCAATAATTCCACATTAATCTAGTGAACCAGAATAAGAAATAAAAGCAATCAATCAACAGGGAATTGAGATTGACGCAGCTCTACACTGATACTACTACAGTGTCTGACTTGGTAGAGCGAGGTATTTTAATCGTCACTCGGGGGAAAATATTCTTACCACTCTGGTCTTGTAAGTCTCTTGCGTTTGAAAATGATATAACTAATACCAATTGGGCTGGTAAACAAAACATACCCGTCGAAGTTAGAAAAATGCTGCACATTATTCGAGTTTCATGTGAAAAAAGGGCAAAGATAGTAACAACAATACATTATATAAATAGTGTTATCAGGGGTTTTTGCGATGAACGTAAGGAAATGTAAAAAAGAATTCTTAAGAAAACAAGGAAAAGGGACATTGAAATACGTTGGTAATAATGGAGATGACAAATGAAACGAGGGGTATCATATCGAGGTTTTACTATATATTTGCAGTTGCATTTCAATGAAACCAAGGCTTTTAGTTGAACAGAGTATGTTTTTGACTCCCTAGAATGAGCTTTGACCCTTGAATATGAAGGAAACTATCTGCTTGACATATGTTTTGTTGACTCCCCAAGTTCCATGAAAATGTTATTCCTCATTTGACAAATTGCTAAAAAAAAAACAAGGATCAAATGCAAGCTCTGAATCCCATCCTCTACGAAAGACCTTCGACATATTTGGAAAAGGAGTGACCACATTGAGCAATACTTGTATCACAGAAAGACAACCTCGCAGCATCAGCCGAAACAGGAGTGATTAACAGCATCCAGTTTTAGTCAACAAAAGCGGTTATTGAGAAAGAGGTATGCGTTAAGACTCGACTATGCGCAAAATCTGATTTCTCTTGTACATTTTATATACTAGTTCATCAAGTGATAGTTTGATTAGAAAGAGGTGCAAAGGGGTCGATACAAATATCATTGTATAGTGTCGAAATGTTCGCATTGGCACTGGTTTTGAAATCCATTTAAATACTTATCCGTGTGGAAGTATTCGCACAATTTACTCAACGCGAAAAACTCTAGCATTTATTTCCACATTGCCAACAAAACAAAACCCGGTATACCGTGCTCATGAAAACACGAGCCTTTTTGAAAGATGGACGTAACACGCACACACACAAACTTCACACACACATACACAAACACACACAACACACACATACGCAGATCTTTGCACCTTTAACATGTGTTAATACGAGGGTCATATGGTTGGCATTTCTGAAGGCAATACACATAACACCCTGACTCAGTGCTTGTAATTACAGAAGCTTTATGCCCGAAGGATTCGCCATTTGCTGACATATGAACAAACGGCAAAACGTGTGAAAGGTGCTAAACATCATTTAAAAAGGTATGATAATTGCGACTCAAGAAAGCTATCTGAATTACTTAAAAGGACGAGACATTGGTATTACTTTGAACCCAAGAGGCGCATTAATACCAAACAATGTGTGAAGTGATGGCAAGACGTAAGGCGCCAATAAAATGTTGTATACCATAACTTATAAGTTTACAAAGACATAAGAACTAAAGCCTGTCAAAGGGTAATACATGATGCAGCGTCCAAGTAAAAGATTGAATGGCATCCAGATAATTCACGATAATGCTCTCTGGGAAACGGTATGCCCCTAGGAGTGCTCTCGGTCGGTAGTGTAATCTGCCAGCATACCAAGGTGAGACTATCGCGCAGCGTATACGTCATGAACAGCGCGGTTGCAAAAGTGCGTTTCCGGTAAGGGGAATACTTCGAAGGAGTATAAAAGCTGGATCAAGTTTATATAATGTTATTCCTGCCACTAGTGACAGAATGTATTTCGTCCTTAAAGGACTCATCGGTGATGATAGGGGCCAAACGGTTGGAAATGCAAATTGGTTTTAAATTAATGTTAAAACAGAAGGGGATGTGCGTAAAACCCCCTTACTTTATAAATTGCCAAATTTAGAAGGTAATAAAGCTACATGTATAGAAACCAATTTGTACTACCACCGGAACCAAATTCGATATTGCAACACTGTGTTAGCAAGAATAATGTTTTCATTAACGATACTCTCCCTCCCTAGGCATAAGTAGAGTAGCGACAACAGTGTTGTCAAGGCCTGGGTTTGATAATGCCAAATGAGCTTTTCACTTATGTTTGTTTAAGAGTAGCTTCCCGTGGAGCATTGGAATAGCTTTAAACATTTCCACATTAAAATACTCCCACTAATAAACACATTTAACGAATAATTACAAAGTTAATAACATTTAATGAGAATATTTATGTTCTGTTTGGATATTTAAAGATAATATCTAAATAGTTAAGTGTCAGAAATGTAAACCCTATCTATTTACGAAATACTATCAAATTTACTTTTGGGGTCATATATATGCTAGTTTTGAAAGGGTCTTCATGTTAATCTGTCCTTTGTTCATATTTTGCCATAGTTTTATACATTTTCTCGTATTAAGATTATAAATAAAACCTTACTTCCCTTTACCTCTTTCAACCATATGATATGTTATTTCTTATCTTATAATTTCTCTCTTTATTTCTGATATGTATGTAACTAAGGGGTTTTACGCGATTTCCTTCTGTTTTGACCAATCTGTATTTCCACCTTAATGACCGCCATCACCTACAGCTGTACGGCGCAGAGTATTTCATTTTTTGGCACACTGTTTATATTACCTAAATGTATAGTTGCGATCAATATATGATATGGAAAATGTTTAATACAAAACTTCTGATAATACTGACCACACATGTATTCGTACGTTCAATATTTGATATTGAATATGTTTAATACAAAACTTTTGACAAAACTGATCACATGTGTATTCTCACGTTCAATACTTAATATGGAATATGTTTAATACAAAACTTTTGACAAAACTGATCACATGTGTATTCTCACGTTCAATATTTAATATGGAATATGTTTAATACAAAACTTCTGATAATACTGATCACACGTGTATTCTTGCGTTCAATATTTGAAATGGAATATGTTTAATACAAAACTTCTGATAATACTGATCACACGTGCATTCTCACGTTCAATATTTAATATGGAATATGTTTAATACAAAATTTCTGATAATACTGATCATATGCATATTCTTACGTTCAATATTTAATATGGAATATGTTTAATACTAAACTTCTGATAAAACTGATCACACGTGTATTCTTACGTTCAATATTCAAAATGGAATATGTTTAATACAAAACCTCTGATAATACTTATTACATTGGATTCAACTGATACATGAAATGATAATGATGTTTAATGAAATATCTTCTTGTGATACCGTATCAAATAATAGCGAAGATTTCAATAATATCGATCACAATGATTTCATATAACAATCCCACGTTTCACAAACGTAAAAGTTTTTCTCCGTTTATAACATTTATGTTGAATTTTGGATTTTTTGTACCAACCAGCAATACTAATACCATTTCTAAACTAAGTGTTAAAGAAACTTTTATCACTCAGCACTGTCGATTCAATATATAAACTCTCTCTAGACTCATATCTTTCAGCACGACCGATCCGTTTCAAAACTTCAGATTTTAGAATATTATATCACTCATTAGGTCGAGACCATTTCTAATCTCAGTTTATAGAATATTAAACCTCATTTTTATAGCACCCTAGACAGTTTATAAAATTAATCTAACGCGCTTTACAACATATGGATAATAGTATTAGTTATAATTGTGAAACAAAATTGCTAACAATCACCATTATACATTAAGCAAGAAGATAATCATCGCAATGTGGACATAAATGAATAAAGGATGGCATGTAAAATGAAGACGTGAAGAGGTGAGTTTTGATGTCCTTGAATTTGGCCAGGGTATTTGACTTTCTAATAGCAGATAGTAACCTATTCCACAACGTCGCCGGGACCCTCCTAAAGCACCGGTTTCCATAGGTCACATTACAAGATTTTGGGACACACAACAATGATTTCATTCATAGCTTCAAAGTTATGGAATTCATTTTCACTCTGCAAGA